AAAAGCCAATGCCAGGCCCAGCAAAGAAGAGGTATGCTGCTAAATGGGTGCTTTTCTGTACATATGTGACAAAAAAGAACAGTTTTGATATTAATCACACATTTTAAATATTTTTCACACAGAAATATTCTTCCTGTAGTAATGCAAATGGTCAGTTGTTGAATTTAGTACTTCATACTTTTGTAGGTACTTGATTTTAATGTACAGACACTTTAATTGTTTCTAATTGATTAATTTCCCAGATCTTAAACAGCACTACAGTTATCCCTGTTCCCGAAGAGATGCGTTATCGTCATGGCAATCAAAGTGCCAGTGGCTATGTTTTGTTTGTCCCAGAAAATGAAACCACTGAAGCAGACACTGTTTATTACATGGGGATCACTTTATTTAATACCAGTGATTCTGGGAACAGTGAGTATGGACATAACAATGATTTTTTTAATTAGATTTCTGTCAATGAATGTGGCCAATTCTTTGTTTTCTATATTCAGTTATAATACAGTGATTTAAGTTTTTTAAGTTAATTGTAAACTTGGTCTGGAGTGTACCCTCACCAGAGAGTCTCCAACTTCTGGTCACAGTCCACTCCAGTGCCTGTCTGTACTGCGATATTAACTAACAATTATTACTATGTTACAATACCACAGGGCACCTTGATGTTAATGAGAGTGTCCAACTTCTGGTCACAGTCCATTCCAGTGCCTGTCTGTTCTGGGATGAGCAGAAAGAAATCTGGAGTAGTGAAGGATGTAAGGTAGCTATCATTTTGTTAGCTTCTTTATTTTTAAATATATTAATGAATTGATAAACAAATAAATAAATCCCTTAATGGGAAAACACTTATCAGCGTTTCAACATTTTATATAACACATTTTCTTGCATATTTTGTATAAGTTTTTGATCAAAATACAATCAAACTGTTTCTCACCTTGCCAATTTCTTTCATTATCCAGGTCTCTTTCAGTAGCAGATGTCTACTCCAAACACAATTCAACTTTTTCTCACCTAACACATTTCCCACTTTCTGTATCCAAGTCTCTCTAACACCTGTTGTTTTCTCCAAACACAATCCAACTATTTCTCACCTAACACATTTCCAAATTTCTGTATCCAAGTCTCTCTAACACCTGTTGTTTTCTCCAAACACAATCCAACTATTTCTCACCTAGCACATTTCCCACTTTCTGTTTCCAGGTTTCTCCTCTCAGCACAGCTGTCACGTTACACTGTGTCTGTCATCACATGACTGTGTTTTCTGGCAGTTTCTCTATTCTGCCTAATGCCATTGATATTGTGGCAGACTCTGCTCTGTTCCTGACTTTACTGGAGAACCCATTGGTGGTGAGCATTGTGCTGTGTGTATGGGGCATCTACCTGGCAGTTGTTATCTGGGCACGCAAGAAGGACAGGGAAGACCTACTTAAGGTGAGAGAACTTTGTTTCTGATGTTCAAGATTTCTTGGGATTGAAATTGGAATTAACCATCACTAAGTGAATTTCAAAATAAACCGTTTTTAAATTGTTTGAATCGTGAAATATGTGGTAAAAAAAAGGGGGTTAAGCACTCCAGGCTTTGCCAAGTAGATTTACAGGCAATTCTGTATACTTTTTTTGGTAATACTGCAATTGAATTAGACTCAAATTTGGCATTCCTGTAGCATATATTTATGAAATGAGTTGTTTTCATCTCTGCAGGCTGGAGTGACAGTGTTAGAAGACAATGATCCAGAGCACAAATATGGCTACCTAATTACTGTCATCACTGGCTGGAGGACAGGGGCAGGAACCACAGCTAACGTGGGTTGTTTTATAACAGGTAACTATGTCTACCCGGTCACTGACAGAGACCACAGCTGAAGGGTTTTTGTTTATAAAATGTGAATTTTAATCCTGAACTTTAAAAAATTCCATTCCCATTTAAACTTTTATTGTTGTTTCTTGTTTTCAATTTTTATTTTCCATTTTAAAGGTGAAGATGGTGAAAGTGACTGTCATGTCCTGAGTGATCCCAGACGTCCAGTATTTGAGAGTGGTGGCGTGGACAGTTTCCTACTGACCTGTGCCCAGTGCCTGGGTGACCTCGTCTCTGTCACCATCTGGCACGACAACTCTGGAACTGCTCCTGCCTGGTTTCTGGAGAAGTTGACAGTGAGGGACCTGCAGAGAAATGAGGTGTGTGAGTTCCTGTGTAACCGCTGGCTTGCTCTGGACCTGGACGACTTCTGCATCCAGCGTACACTGCGCCCTGCCTCAGTGGAGGAGATGAAGGATTTCTCATACCTGTTCTCCAGTAACAGTGGCTTCAGCATGAGGGAGAAACATCTGTGGGTCAGTGTGTTCTCTTGTCCACCAAATTGTCCTTTCACAAGAACCCAGAGACTGACCTGTGCTCTGACCCTTCTTCTGACCACCATGCTGACCAATATCATGTTTTATGGCATCCCAACTGATGACCCTGAAGACCAATACCAGGTCTGCTTAATTTTTGTTTTCACCAATGTATTTATTATTTTTTGTTTTACATAAGAATAATAAGTAACAAGAGTTAATAAGTAATATTGTTGCAGGTGGCTTGAAAATGATTGGTTGTGTTTTTATGTTTGATACAATTATAATGTTGTATTGGTTCATTTATTGCTTCATTGTATTTGCTGTATTTGAAATATTTTGAACATGTTTGTTGTGGTATTTATGGTTGTGACATATTTTATGGTTGCAGCAGTATCTTT